TTTGGAAGTTGCTATTTATGTGCTCAAATTTAGTAAGAATCATACGGCTACAATGTACAGGATCCCTTCCAACTGAAGCAAAATATCCTTTGTTTGGGAACGGCAGACATGATTTTCTGTTTCCTAACTGAGTTTTTTTTGTGTTTTCTAATTTCCTCACCATGGGTTCAAGTTTATGAATCGGTCATATTTTCTTCGATAAATATTGCGGATTACCTACATGATGTGCACGATTTCTGATTTTCTGCTGGTAACTTCAATACTGAGGTACCATTCGTATCTGCGGGTACAGATTTAAATTCTTTTGTTTTAGCCGGCAAATGTTGGCAGGGTGATGGCAAAACGAATAAAAGCAAGTAAGCTGTTAGCGAAAGATCCGAATGACTATGAAGCAAGGCACCTGTTGAAAGAAGCTGATGATCAGGCAACTTTTTCTATTATCCAGATAATAAAAGTGGTTGAAAAATCCACTAGGTGTAGCGGGAAATAAGGGAAAAGTATAGCGCAGGATGTTCATTTGGTGGAGTGGTAGTGGCGAAGTGGCCGAATGGTTTAGGTTCTGTGCGAGAAGTTTCTGGAAGTCCGATGTCAATGCTGTTGTGAATTTATATGTGCAACAATTTCTGCGTGTTAATTCCACCTTCCAAACCTTTCGATCATTTCATGATTTTAAGGTATTTCACAGTGGATATAATAAAGGAAGCGTAGAACTGAACTCAGGATGCTTGTGTATTTTCACTAGTGTGTCAAAGATGCGTAACAATATAATTGTTCTTTCATGCGAACCATTTTATCTCTGATGAATTACTTTTCCGTTTACGAGGAATTGCCTTTGCAATTTTGTTGCAGCCAGTAAAGTGCGCCAAGTTAGGATCCTGTGACCATTGGAAGTCGTTAGCTTTCTGGTCAAAATTCCTTTTTAAAAGCGTGTCCCTTTTCTGCCTAGCACATGTTTAAGTCTCAAGATTGGAGATTTCAAGATCAAAAATTAGTTTGAATTTTCTGTAGATAATTTAAAATACAATAAGGGCAGGAAGAAATTTTTGCATATGAAATAGAAGACGGTGTTTGAACCGCCGATCCGAGGTTTCAGTTGGGTTTCGCAAATATCTGCCAGTTAAAACCTATGCGTATTGTTATCGGAAGTTTTTTCATTCGTGATTTGGAACTTAAATGGTGAATGCCACTTTACAGATAAGAGCATGGGCTGAGAGTAAAAAGAATTTACCTGGAAAATTTACTGGAACCACCGGTGTGAATATATTGAAAGCTGATCAGCTTGGCCCGGATGATCCGCGCTTCAGTGTTTGGGCAAAAAAGGTTTGTTGGATTGCCCTAGAAGATTTATATGGAAATTTTGCTACATTTACATGACCCAAGATTTTTATATGACTCAAGGTTTTTATTATTTCTTGTAAAGTTTTTATTCTTCCTGTAAGGTCTATTTGAACTATGAAATCTATTTAAAAAATGTATTGCCAAAGTCTTAAATGTTTTGTCATAAAGACTTTTAGAAGTCATTCGGTTCTGTATGGCAAGGTTGAGGAAAATGCGAAATAATCTTTGTAATGCTAAGTGTGTTTGTTTTTGCACTTTTGCGTTCCATGAAGTGCTTTCCTCCAGAAGCAACTGCCAGTGGAAAATCCGATGATGATAAATAAGTCATATGTCCCAGACAGTTGCTTATTTTTACTGTGAAATATAAGATTTCATGAATGAAGGCATTATTGCTTTGGTAAGGACTTGTAAGAACTGCAGCAGATGCCATTCATTTTTTATGTTTAAATAAAACCAATATAGACGGGCGAACAAATAAGTTTTTGAAAAAAAAAAGAAAAAAAAATCTATGGAAAAGAGTGCTATCTTTGTATATATGATCAACATTCAGTTTAATAGAAAGTGAGTTCTTTATACATGGTATATTTTCTTGTTAAAAACTGAACTTTATGCTTCACTCATATCCAGTGGCAATGTCGATGGGCTTGTAATGAAGAATGTTATGACTTGATTCTTCGTTTTATTTTTCTCTACGTTGCTTATTTTTGTGAAACTGGCAGAAAATTCTCAGCCTAGAGATCATTATTGGGATCAGCACTGACTTTTAAGAAACTCTCTCACATCTTCGAGGTGACACTGTTGGTGTTGGTGTCGTAAAATAATGCAGTTAACATGTTATGAAATGGCTAATATTTTCTGCTTAGATCATTTCAGATATCTTTGTAATTCATTAAATTTTCTGTGCCCATGTGTTTGCTGTTGCTAAAGATAAAATGGTTCTGAGGTACTGCGAGAAGACTGTTATATGTTTGAGAACGATTTTGTATTTCTTATAAGCAAAATTTTTTCAACAGAAACAACAGATTTTAGACTTATCGAACGTTGTGCCTTCTGTCATATTTCTATATAAACAGTCTGAGTCTTTTTCCATAGCAAATTTAAGGTTTAAATGTCTCTGAATTGAGTTGCAATTTTTCATCAGAACCTTTGTCAGAATCCAGTTGGAGCCTCGAATCATTCATTTTTTTTTTTCTTTTGAAATATCTAAAATTCGCGGTTTGTTCTTAACAATTAATCAGTGATGCACTTGATGTAGGCAGAAAGCCTGGTCAGTTATATGCATTGCTTTTCTTTTATAGTTTGGCACTTACCTGGTCCATCAATATAGCCTGTTTGTGTCATTTATCGTTTTTACTGCCTGGCTTTTTTGGCATCAGTAACTGATTAGAAGAAATTAACAATTCTGTATTACTTGTTAGATTATCAGTATTTGAAATGGTTCATCATGGATATTCCATCATCGACTTCATGTTTTGGTCGAAAAGTGTTGAAAGTGGACGAACAGTTATCTACCACAAGAAATAGATTATTAATGGTCTAATGACACGAGTTGCATTTTTTTTTTTTGCGCGTAAAATAACAGGTTTTCCTCTTAATAACAGTTCTAGGTATTTTATATAATATGCTTAATTGTAGAAGGAAAGACATGCACTTATTGTGTATATATTTTTAACGACCTAGTTAGAAAGTGAACTGAATTAACATACAAATGCATGAGTAAAAATGTTTTTTGTATTTCAATTAGAATATCTGCATAGTACTTTTTACTTTTTTTTTTATTTTTCATCATATCTAATACTTTTTACTTTTCTGAAACAATGATTGTGCTGAAGTAATGTTTTACTAAGTCATCCTTATACCATGCGCTATTTGTGTACATCTTGCAACTCGTGTCATTGATCATGGACAGAAATTGTTTAGGTGTTGCTGAGCGTAACTGATGATGGGAAAGGATTTATTTCTACTGTAGCTGATGTTTTGACCTTTTTGAATAGTGATCATACGGCCGTTGGCGTAAGTTTGTATATGGCTCTTTTAGTTTCTTTTTATTTTCTGAATTTTATTTTTCAAGTCCCCGTACATCTTACTTAAACTTTTTGTATTTCAGGATTTTTTGAAACAGACGAATGCTGTAAACAGTGGTGTAGGTTTAAAGCTGATGCAGAAAATGGGTTGGACACCTGGTGAAGGCCTAGGGAAAGGAAGAGATGGTCCTCTTGAGCCATTAGTTTTGGACATTAAATCGGACAGAAAAGGTTTGTGTATACTTTTTCAAGCACTGTAAAAGTTCAATTTGTCTCAATCGTGAAGATGGCATATATAAGATGTTACATACTTGTAAAATACTTAATGCAATTTTATGAATAATTGTTCTATGAATTTGTATGTTTATTAATCAGTTATTACATTTTAGGTTTGGTAGCTTCGGAAGAACTTCCAGAATTGAAGAAGTTACGCCCGAATTCTGGGAAAAATTTAGCTGGTACGATTTCTTAACCTTTTTTTTTTTCCCTCACACTACTTTATAACTTTTTAATATAAATCGGTGTGAATTTCTATATAAAACAAACTTTTTGGAACTATTTTGATTCCTTAAATTGTATTTCAAGAGCATGATAAGTAAAATAGTCATTTTTATTTTAGGGAAGCATCCGGTATCTGTTCTTATGGAACTTTGCTCGAAAAAACGATGGCATGCCCCACAATTCACATGTTTGGAGAGTGGACCATCAAATAACCGAAGATTTCTTTGGAAGGTGAGAATGCATATATATAGTTAGATTCTATCGCGGGGTATTAATAAAATCCTAGTCAAATAGAATTAAATCATAGGTGATTAAATATCATAGTATTTCATCTATTTGTATCTTTTTTAGTAAATTCCATCATTGTCCATGTTCCAGGCTGTTGTTAATGGTGTTGAATATCAACCATCAGTCCCATCAACTAGTAAGAAAACTGGTAAAGCTCAAGCATGTCAAGTGGTTCTTCAATCTTTGGGTTTGGTTCCACGTGACCCATTGTTACCAGTCATTTTATGAGGCACTACAAATAAGTTTTTCTCTTATGCATTTTGTGCCATTTCATCTTTAAATATGAAAATTTTCAATTAGGAGTTCATAGTTGTAGGTCCTGAATTTAATTTTAGTCAATCTTTAAATCATCAAATTGAATTCTAGCAAAAAAGGCATTTTCTCAATGATGTAGTAAAAGAGATGCTGTTGTGTTTATGATAATTTTTTTGAGTTATGTCGTTTTATTTCTGAGAGCAAAATTACATTTGATCAATGAAGAATATGTTGTTCATTTTTTGTGTGAATGAAAAGTGTTTCAATGGAGAAACATCTCCTTATCTAGTAAGATGGCAAACTAACTATATTTCCCTCATGTTCAGATTTGTATCTATATTTTTTTGACAAAGTGATAGTTATAAGCAATTTTCGTCCCATTCTATCATATTGTACATTGTTTTACTACGTAAAATTATTATTTTTCTCAAAACAGTGATAATACACAGGAAGAAACTTGGTTTGTCCTTGAGAGTGGAGATGAAATTACTTATCGAAATAATTCACGTTCTTCGCAGAAAGTTAAAGACAGACGGTGTAAACGAAGTAGATGATAGACGATTTTGAATTTGCAAGCGAGAAATGGCAGTGCTCCTAGCTATAACTCGGACGTGCATACGACATTTGGCCTCTTTTGCTAATGGCTTCATATCCTCTGCTAGGAGGTGCGCGTGGTTGGGGTAGCATCATATCTGAAAAAAAAAAAAAAAACTTAAGTGTTGTCAAACTAAGTGAACTGAACTGAATACCTTAAATAAAAAAAAGTAGAAATTAATGATAAAAATATTAGTCTATACAATGTTTCCGAGAACAGCTAGTTCGAGTCTTAAAATTCCGTTAAATGAACATAAAAATTGCTGCATGGAGCTACCTTTTTTACCGCCGTAATATTTGCTGCTTTCATCTTGTCCATCTTTGACACTCTGGTAATATCCTACATCATCGCTCGGTCCAGGTCCGCCATCATATGGTTTTTCTGCACCATTACCTTTTAGGGGTGAAGGTCTAGCGTATCCATAGGGAACTGCATCCACTAGTGATATTGCTAAGAGATTTACTGCGATCAGCAGCAAAGTTTCTCCCGCAATACCTCTAAAAACCATGTTATTTCCTGAAATCTGACTTAGTGATACTAGAAATATTTAGCTGTAGTCATAATCTACATATCCAAATGGTCTCTACATTTATTCTTTGTGAATAGTAATTATCTCCATTTTCGAATCTTCATTATACTAATTCTCAAAAAATCTGAACCATCTAAACATTCCGTTTAATTTCGTTCGAAGTTTATAAAAATTCATAGAAATCAATTCGCTTGACTAGAGGAGCTTGTGGCTAATCCTTAACATTTTCCTGGTTTGAAATGATACGATGCAAATAAATGAATCCGTTTTAGTGCAAGATTTTTGATCCAGTAATAGGTTAAAATAAAATACGTTGAAGGAGAGATTACAAAAAGGTCGAAAATTGTGAAAGAAATTTGCAGTGAAAGTTGATGCATTCTGTTTTTCAAAGGGAGCATTTTTATAGCCACAAAATCGGGACAAAGAATGTGACTTTGAAAGAAGTTAACAATTGATGAAAGGGAGCTGGTTCATTTCTCTCATCACTACGAAATAATAAATTACTTTGGCTTGTGATTTTGTACATTTGAAACTTGAATTACAGTGTTTGAGAAATTTTACAAGATATTTTGCTGATGCTTTCCCTACTGACATGATAATGATGGTCATTTCTTGATTGGAAATTAATTCCATCACAAATTTCCAGTCATTAGTTTTCTTCATTACATTGAATAGTTGGAGATACCACAAGTTGAGTTGATGGTGTTTAGTTGCTTTTTATATCTTATTATATGGGAAGTGTTTTTTTATAACACATAATGATGGTAATTAACTTAGAATGAATCATCAGTTTCTAAATTATTAGTTGCATATATTTGGACTGCAAAACTCCACTTTTTTTTTTTAAAAAAAAACTTTGAAATTCCAAAATTGCTGAATTCTATTTCGTTTAAACTGATTTTGGACTTTAAATTAACAGGGAGACGTGCATTTCTGATGACTGTATTTGCGATAGCATCATTTAATTACTGTCGCTAATGAACAATTAACCAGTGTGTGGGTGTGTGTGATTGATTCATTTACTCTTGAGCACTTTTTGCACCGTACAGTTTTTTCTTCTTGATAAGAAATGCTGGATCTGACAATCGTTCAAAATTTATTGAGATTTTAAAAAATTTGACTAATCCCAGGAATCACCACCAAGGAACTTTTTCTAGAATGAAAAAACGTCAAATTTTTATGAGGTAATGAATTTGAATTCCTGAAAAATGCATAAAATTTAGTAACATTTAAAGGAGAAATACGAATTGATGTCAACTACAATTAATTTCAAAATTTGCTACCATGATAAATCAGCAAGACTATGCCCATAGTTATCTTCAACTGTCAGTTTAGTTGTAATGTTTATATTTTGAGCGTCAAGTATATAATAGAAGAGTTCGATGATATGATGATATAACGAACTGCAGTATTAGAATAAAATAACAAACTGTAGAAATTAATGTCAGCATTGGTGTTAGATTCAATATAAGTTTAAATATTTTACTGCATTTCCATACAATTTTTGTTTTACTTATATTCCAGTAGATTATTCCCATACACTTCAGAAATATGTGATGCTGATTTGAAATTTATGTGTAAGAAGACTGAAAACATTTAAAATGCCAGGGAATCAAAATTAGCGTGAAATTTTTTATTGTTTTAATAAGATGTGCTTCCACGGCAATTTTAAGTGAATTTTGCATGTCGAATAAAATATATGATGTAATCCAAAAAAACTGTAAAATACAATTGAACAATTAATCAACATTCGGTTCCAAACAATTGAACTGTTTATTAAATTGATTAATCTGTTAATTCGCTAAAAATATAATAGCAATTAGGAAGACATTTAAAAATAAAGTTTTACCAAGACTACAATAATTTCTAGATTGAAGGAACTTTACTCCGAGCTTTCAGATATATAAATCCCTGAAGTTAAATCAGATATATAAAGCCCTGAAGTTAAAACACTCAGAGCACCTTAGAATCTTATGAATTTCATTTTTTATTTCTCAGATTGCAGGCTGATTTATTAAATCTTCATACTTGCTTATGAACAGCTAGCTTTTCCTGAGATTACTAGTTACCCTTGTGATATGCCTTGAAAATTGGTCAAATGAAATCTCAGTTAATGTAATCGTTTCTTCCAAAATGACTTATAATTTCATGTGATAACTTTGCTTTTTTCTATGACAAGAAACTGAGTTATTCATATTAATTTAAAATTATACCCACTGTTTTAATATTTTCAGCCTTTTAAAAAAAGGAACGTCTTTAAGCTTATCCAGTAGAATAAAAAGTTCAGTTTCCGACGATGAAGTAGAATAATCAATTGTTACAATGTCACAGTTTCATTCGTAATCATATTTATATACCTGAAGTCAAATTTACTTAATGTGGTGATCACAACATACTAGCTTCGAAAATGTCAATAGCGAAAGCACATGACGCCCTCAAATTGGTCTGTAGCCTTAATGACTAATTATACAGTAGTTAACCGACTTCAATTTACTCCGTTGTATCTAAATTTGCAAGAAAGTCGGATCAATTCGCAACAATAAAATTGAATAACACAGATTTACCACAGTCTAAGCTTTAATTTAATTAGGAATTTGTCTTTCAAACAAATTTACACTTTCATTTGGCACAGACTCTTACCTAATAGTTCGCTTAAAAGACCAAGAATTCATTTCGTAATGCAGATGTCGAAAATAAACTAACTGCTGAGAAATTGCCCGCCTTTTCCTGTAAAGAACCTCTCACTCAATTTATCATAACGATGCAGTCAGTATAGAACAGAACAGTCTGCAACCAGTGATGACACAACTTCTCCAATTAGTGCACGATGCAGTAACCTTCCAAATCCAAAATATTTTAAAATTTTACCAAGTACAAGAAAATTCAGGGACCTTCCGTTTTCATTTTAAAACTTTAAATCTCTACATAAGCTTATTTTTACGGTCTTCAAATAAACAAACATCCACACTATTTGGATATAAAGACGACACCCATGCAAAAAAGAAGTCATCATCCTCAGTCCGCGTAAGCGATACTGAAAAATATTCCTTAGCAAAAAAATTTATGATATTTTAGTTCCATTCTTAGCATATGTCTGTTGTTTACTAACTAATCTAGCAGAGCAGTGAGCTCCCATTCCGCTATTTTGCACTCGTCTGGATCAGTTACAAATCAGCATACGTGGTGTATTTGATGGGATCTACTGCATTCAGGTTAACGCTCATTTGCAACCCAGTCCCAAATAGCTATGAAACTGGGCATCATCTGGACAGCCAGCCATAAACGTCGCATTTCACTAGATTTTAAATCCATTTTATCTTTTAGACAAACATTTCAAAAAAAAAAAATTCTACAATGACAGTGTTATGTAAATGAAAATAACATTCCAAAAGGCACATCCAGGATGAATATATTTCAATAACTACAGTTTACAAACTTTTTTCTCGCCGCCATCTGCACTACTTATTCGTCTGGAAATTCTGTAAATATCGATCGACTTAAGCATACTAGCTTTTTCCCGTTACCATAACATCATGAGGAATCCATTGCATTGATGGGAAAACCTACTACTCAAATTACAACTCAAAAGTTTTTAAGAAATAAAGCACTTAAATAACTCAAATGCAATCAGTGCATAATAATTCAAATTCAGATTTGAATTCTCTTTCCCGGTTCCTTTGATGTTTTGAAGCAAAAAGCTGCGCAAAAATGAGTAAGTGAAAAAATAAATTGTCGAGCTAGTGAAAATGCAAAACTAAACAAGATGAAAAGGCACGATAAAGGAGATGATATGAATTGGAGAAAAAATAAAACGTAGTTAAAAAATAAAACGCTCAGCAAAATTATTAACAACACTAATAACAATGCATGATTCAATACAGGTAAGAGACCACAAATTTCTACATTTTTCGCTTTTTCTATCAGTGGGTATAACTATCTGAACTGATATTTATTTTATGTTATTAATAAACATGCAAATACGCCCTTCCAATCATCTTGATGCACTAGGCTAAACCAAGAACAAATAATGAAAACAATAGTGAACTCTTCTTTACTTTAACATATCAATTCAAATCTTCGTTTCGAAGATGGACTCGATAGATACTCCCTAAAAATAAAAAATAAAAGTAAATGACACATAGCAGCAAAACAAGAGTTACATCAAAAGTTAAACCGATATCAGCTAGAAAGCGAAAATACCAGCAAGAAAAGGGAAACTTCCTAAAAAATATGAGAACAAAGAGAAGAACAAGAAACAATGAATAAGTGTGTACAATTAAGGCAATTAGGAAAACCAAATTACATTACGATTGTATTTCATAATAAAAAAGAAACAATTAGGATGACAATAAAAATGCATTAATATTTACTAATAGTAGCCAAAAAATCAAAGCTTTAAATCAAATTTAGAAAAGCAGTTAGTCAGTACAATATAGAACAGGTCGTTAATACAGCAGGTCGATTTTTCCTATCTTCCTCAAAACAGAACAAGTTTAGATCAAAATTTTTAACAACTATGATTTTTAAATTATCACCGATGGCAATCAGACTTCAGCCAGTAACACACATTTGCCTTGGGAACAATAATAATAACCTAGTATGTAGAGTATTTCAGGATGATTTACTGGTATCAATTTGCTCCGACAAAATACTTCTCCGCATATCATCGTTACTATTTCTTAACACCGTATAAATACTGTCCACTTCAGCAAGCTGTTCCAAAACTGGGATTATATCCAACAATTCAACATCGTTCGCATCATCAAACCATGTTTGTACCGGAATCTTAAAACGTGTTTTCAAGAGATAACATTGGAAATGCTAAATGCTATAATACTACAATAATTTTTCCTTTCATCACTTCTAATTCAAAAATAAAAATTCTTGCGAATATGTCGAGAGAATAATAGCTGTTTTATATCCCAAGATTTACCATGATACCCTAAATTTTCCTATTTGTTTGAACTCAGTTTTCTAAA